GAGAGGGCGGACAGGGGCGAGGAGGGCCAGAAACAGGGCAAAGCGAGCGAGAGAGCGAGCGAGCGAGCGAGCGAGCGAGCGAGCGAGCGAGCGAGCGAGGAGAGAGCGAGCGAGGGAGCGAGCGAGGAGAGCGAGCGAGCGAGCGAGCGAGCGAGCGAGCGAGCGAGCGAGCGAGCGAGGGCGAGCGAGCGAGCGAGCGAGCGAGCGAGCGAGAGAGAGAGCGAGCGAGCGAGCGAGCGAGCGAGCGAGCGACGAGCGAGCAGGAGCGAGCGAGCGAGCGAGCGAGCGAGCGAGCGAGCGAGAGCGAGCGAGCGAGCGAGCGAGCGAGCGGCGAGCGAGCGAGCGAGCGAGCGAGCGAGCGAGAGCGAGCGAGCGAGCGAGCGAGCGAGAGAGAGCGAGCGAGCGAGCGAGCGAGAGAGCGAGAGAGCGAGCGAGCGAGCGAGCGAGGAGCGAGCGAGCGAGCGAGCGAGCGAGCGAGCTAGCGAGCGAGCGAGCGAGAGAGCGAGGAGCGGCGAGCTAGCAGCGAGCGAGCGAGCGAGAGAGCGAGGGAGCGAGCGAGCGAGCGAGCGCGAGGAGAGCGAGCGAGCGCGAGCGAGCGAGCGAGCGAGAGAGCGAGCGCGCGAGAGCGAGCGAGGAGCGAGCGAGCGAGCGAGCGAGCAAGCGAGCGAGCGAGCGAGCGAGCGAGCGCTAGCGAGCTATCTATCTATCATCTATCTATCTATCTATCTATCTATCTATCTATCTATCTATCTATCTATCTCTATCTATCTATCTATCTATCTATCTATCATCTCTATCTATCTATCTATCTATCTACTATCTATCTATCTATCTATCTATCTATCTATCTATCTATCTATCTATCTATCTATATATCTATCTATCTATCCTATCTATCTATCTATCTATCTATCTATCTATCTATCTATCTATCTATCTATCTATCTATCTATCTATCTATCTATCTATCTATCTATCTATCTATCTATCTATCATATATCTATCCATTAATCATCTATCTATATTCAAGGGATCTTGAGAAGTGTTCCCGGTAAGTTATAAAATGATCTGTTAGATGGGGTCGTTGTACACATGTTTGTCTGAGTGTATATACATAGTTCTTTGCTTGAAAAGTCACAATGTCTCATCAAGGGCTTGCAACGAAGGCTGAGCCGCATTAGTATTTTTATACAGTTAAATACCATTTCCTATCCATTGTTTATATAATACGTCTATCTTATCTATTCCACGTGTCAAATCAATTAGCACTACCGCTCGTGCCCTTAACATTCGTAAAATTTAAACAAGATTTCAGTTATCGTCTATTCAGATTAAATATACGCATAGGCTGAGTAAATAGGCTTTGAAGTCTAAAAAAAAAAAAAAATATATTATTTTATTCTTTAACCTAATTTTTTATAACAAAAAAAAAAAAAAAAAAAAAACTAGACTCAAAACATACAAAGTGCAATTTGAATAAAATATAAATGATTTTGGTTTATTTACCTTTTTAGCGATGAGGCACGCTTCTGAAAATAACAACAAAAGAATATATTTTAATAAATATGTTTAAAAGTGTATTTAAGAAAACAAAGCATAAATGAAAAGGTAAACAAAGTAATTATCAGTATAAAATTATAAAAGAATTATAAAATTTTCTAACAACAATACAAAAAAGGAGCTACTTGAAGTAAAACAAGCATTAGAAACAGTTGGCTAAGTTGTTATAAAAAAATAATAAAATCGATATATAAAAGTAAATAATATCTATCGGTTTTAAATAATCAAATGTATGATGGTAAGGGTTTGTTAAACTTTGCATAAAAAGTCCCAGTTCGTATTACGGTAAGGTCTGAAAGTAAATTTGAATGGAAGAAAATATTTATATGTATGTAGTCGTCTTCAAAAGTCTATTATTACTTATTATAAGAGTTTATAGTATTTTTGCTGATAACATTCTAACATTTAAAAATATTTTTTTTATTTTAAATTTCTTTTAGTCTTTATCAATATCGGACACAAACTTTATACACGAACGACAACAAACAATATTGTAGTATTAATTTTTTTGCAAATCCATCGAAGGTTTCTTTTAATAATAAATTTACCTCAAGTTTAATTAGTTGTTGACCTTAAATTTGAGCAGAGTGTTTAAGTAAAGCAAATTTTGGGCATAATTTTTGTTGTTGAAAATTTAAGTAGTAAACATTTAAAAAAAGTCCTTATAAAAATAAAAAATTAATTAAATTAACAAAATAAATTAAAAATGTATTCAAATGAAGATATGAGGAAAATCGCAAAAATCTTTATAGTGATTTTTCTATGCAGTGAAATGCAACCAAGTAAGTGTAATGGAAAGTAATAAGGATTTAAAAAAAAATAATTAAAAAATTAGATGAATATTTTTTTTTTTTGGAAATTTTCAAGTGATTTGAGTGAATTTTAAAATATTTTTTGAAAAAAGTACTTTTTAAAACTTTGAAGTCCTTTAAAAGGGGCATAGGATCACGAAATGAAAAACAAAAAAACGTAGTTTTTCTGCATTAAATTTATAGTTTCAGACGTATCCGGTTCGTGTCTAACGATTTTTTTCTCTTTTTGTTGAAATTCCTTTTAAGGATTACAATTTAAGTTTAAGATAATTGTTTAAATTCTCCTTCTCTAATCCTTTTAATGTGCAACTGGTGTTCTGCCGAGTCATTTCCCGACGTTACGCGAGTTCTTATCTATTTTTTTTATTACCTTAATATTCAATCGATAAGCCACTGTGTGACAAAGTTCAATTCCGGATGGCTATTGTCATTGATCATTTGTATCGGTCAAAGATATGACCCAATTATATCAGAAGATGTTGAAGCAACTTTTTAAACTATACTGAATATTCATACGATTTTTATCCATCGTGAATATTGTCATGATTTTAAGCTTCTATTGACGAAAAGAATGACCTTTGAACCTTTTCAAAAAAAAAAAAAAAATCTTACTAAAATAATATATTATATATATAATATACATGTTTCTGAGATTTTCTTTAAAAAGATCAATTAAGAGTTCTATATTCGGTGTTTGTTGTGATTTTAATTCATTTCAATTTTAATAATATTTATTTATTTATATGCGGTATATTTTCGGAGTGAAAACGATGTGTTATCAAACTGAAAATGCTATGTTGTCAAACAGAAAGTTGCGTTGTCGAAATGATAACGAAATGAACTGTCGAAATCACGACGTTTCATTGCCGAAATGATACAAAGCATAATCAAAATGGCAACAATTCGTTGTTACAGTGACAACGATGCGTTGTTCAATTTACAACGGCGGTTGTCAAAATGATAACCGGGTGTTATTTAAATTTTATACCCATCCATTGTCTAAATGGTAACAAACGTGGTAAGCTCACTTTTGACGACGGATTGTAACAATTTCGGTACTTTCTACCGTTTTTTCCCTCTGTGTATGTTTCTAAGTTCAATATTGCATTGGAAAAGTACCAAAAATTCTTTCCTACAAATTTTCATTCACTCAGGAATCTGAATGTTTTATTTTAAGTTTCAATATGAGAATTTAAAAAGTACCTTTTGAAGAACGAAAAAGCACCAAAAAGTCCCTTCTTATTTGTTCTCATTTACTCCGCTCTCTATATGCTTAATTTCATGTTTTAGATTCAATATTATAGGAAATTCAAAAGGTACCTTTTGAAGAATGAAAAAGTACCAAAAGGTACCAGAGTTACAAAAAACACTCCATTAGAATATTTAATTTTTCAAATTATAAAATTATTTTTATTTACCCTCTTTGCTTAGTTTCTCACACACAATTTTCCATCTATGATTTTGACAATAATAAAACAACAATAGCAACACATATTTTCATGCGTAACGTGTTATTCTTGCTCAGTTTTATTTTTATTGTATGTTGTTGTTGTGTTTTGCTTTTGTCAAAACATGCATAATAATGCACATTTTTTGATGAAATTTTTAGAGGTTGTTTCGGATTTTTGCTCATATCTCCATTATTTATGAACTGATTTGGCTGATTTTAAATAGCGATCTTTTCGAAAGTATGTCTAACAGAATTATTGAAGATTTGTATCTCGAAGATATTTGGGGTTTTTAGAAAATAGATTTCAACAAACATACAGACAGACGGCCAAAGCTTAATCGACTCAGCTAGTACCGGAATATGTACCTAAACTTTATTGGGTCCGAAAATTATATTGTAGAAATTACAAACGGAATGATAAACGGGAGCAATTTACCAACTTCGATAACAATTTACCTCTAATTCTTGTTAAACATCGTTTCTTTTACCAATAACAATGATCACTTTTTAGGACTCAAGAATTCTCTTGGCGGTATTCTAAATTCGGTGAATTTTATATAAAAGTTATTGTCCATTACAATACAATTACAAATTATATTCTAACCTAATTTCCGGAGCAGGATGGCGATGACCATACGCCCGTTGTAGTTTAGCAGTTTAAAGTCTCTGATGGGAATCGAATTCATCCAACCCCCACACTGATAGACTAGCACACTACCAACTAGCCTACCAAGGCACCCAAATTATATAAAAGTTATTTATGCTGAATTTCATTGTGATACTAATGGTTATAAGTTTAATTAACTTTCTGAGGGGAAATGTGGCCTGATCATTATGAAAATCGGCTGTATCATTTAATGTTTATATGTATTAGTTGTATCTGATTTAAAACGTGAACTTCATAGATAAAATCAATGTAAACGTATTCCTTGGATTGATATCTTGTAAACCTTAATTTTTTAAGACTTTTCTTTATTATTTTCATTATAAAACGTGTCAAAAATTTAAAAATATTAACTCTATGAAGTAAAATTCCAACAATAATTGATAACAAAAATATTAAAGAAAATTTTCCAAAAATACCCTGATATCTCTACAATTTATTTTTATTATTATAATTAAAAGATATTATAAATTTCCATTGCTAATGCAGTTTTCTAGTTAGTAACCAATAATTTGAAATCATTGTCAAGGTAGTGTTTTATATTAACAATTTATTAAAAAACCATAAAAAATTTAGAATTAAACAAGTAGGAAAGTATAGACGGGCATTGCCGACCATATAATACCCTACTACTCATGGTTTTTTAAAATTTTTATTTTTCACAAAGAAACTTTTATGTTGAATTTTACGTTAATTCCAAAGTATTTAAGTAATTTATTGATAAAAAACAAATTTTCTAAATGAGGCTTTATATAGGAGTATAGGTCAAACATGGGCCGATCCTCATTAAATTTGGGAAAAGGATATATTTTTAAATAATAGTTAATTATGTTGAGTTTCATTGCGATACAAATGGTTACAAGTCAATTTTAGACGTTTAAGATATTTTTTGAAGGGGGGTTTGTATGGGGGCTAGGGTCAAATAAGGGCCGATCATTACGAAAATCTGCAGTGTCATTTATACTTATATAAAACTTATTTGTGCCAATTTTTATAGAGATAATAGTATATTTGACGTAATTATGGCATAAAAAGCCCAAATCGGGAGGTACGGTTGTATGGGGGCTAGGTGAAATAATGGACCGATTTCAATCATTTTCAATAGGCTTCGTCCTTGTGCCAAAAAACATGCTTGGTCCAAATTTCATCAAATTATCTTGAAAATTGCGGCCTGTAACTTGCGCACAAGGTTTACATGGACAGCCAGCCAGCCGGACAGACGGACGGACGGACATGTCTTAATCGACTTAAAATGTGATTCTGAGTCGATCGGTATACTTAAAGGTGGGTGTAGGACCAATATTTTTGTGTGTTACAAACATCAGCACAAACGTATAATACCCTCCCCACTATAGTGGTGTAGGGTATAAAAATTAATTTTATCTTTGCGAATAATCACAATAAGAATTTAGAGTTTAATTAAAACCAAATATATAACATATTTTGGTTTCTTTTCCATTAAGAACATCGTATGATTTTTGTTTATTAAAAAAATTTTAATAAATGATAAATAAAAATAACGGTTACCAAGCTGCAGGGGGTCTGTGTTATCAGTTTAAAATATTTTTCCCAAACTTAAGTATTGTGGTAGGTAAAAATAAATTGAAAGAAATGAAAACAAAGTATTAATAAAATTTCCTTTCCAGCACGAGAAATGATAAGATTTTTGAGTTTCTTTGGAATTTAAATATTAGTGATGGTGTTAAAGAAAAGAGAGTAATCGAATAGAGAAATTTTAACGTTATAAGTTAAGCCCAATAGGGTTAAATCTATAGAATTTTTTTGGACTTAAACAAACCAACAGATATAGAAGTCATTCTAAGAAATCTTTTTTCAATTTATTTCAGGTGTCACCCAAAATAACTCCTATGAGCAACGTGTTTTATACTATAGTTCCAATGTTAATACAACAGAGGCCTCTTTCAATAATGCCCAACATCATGCCTCCATACGTTTGAAAGATCATGATAAAAATTTTGGTGATGGCCATATATGTTCAGGAGTTGTAATAGGTCCCTCGGTGGTCTTAACCACAGCTCAATGTGTTTACAAGTAAGAACAACTAAAAATCATAAAGATAATATTTAATTAATTGCATATATTTTCCGCTTAACAGTTATAATCAAAATAAACCTTATCATCCATCTGAATTAAAAGTAGTCTTGGCTTCTCTCAGTCGTTACCAACTGCAAGAACAAACACTTATCTATAGTGTGACTCACAGTTATCAACCCAAAACTTTTGACACCCTAAGACTACGTGATAATGTGGCCATTTTAATGTTGGAACGTGATATACCCGTTATGAATGAATATGTACAAGCGATTACTTTGCCTCAAGCCAAAGTATACAACACTAATTGGTATGATAAACAAAATGGTGGACAATTTAAGGTGACCACTTGGTTGAAGACCCATGAAGTAAGTTTCTAATTTTTAAAATCAATTATTTAGATTTTAATGATAATCTTTTCTTTATACCAGGATTTACATTTAAATCATTTAATGTTGCTGAATGCTTCCCAAGTAAGTGATGAAACCTGTTTGCAGTATTATGGCAAAACTCTTTTCACCACCGGCATGTTGTGTGTCAATACCAATGAATCTTTACAAGAAGATTTTGGTTCTCCTTTATTTGTTGACAACAAATTAGTGGGTCTACGTAGTTTTGCCTCGGGTCATTTATCTCCTGCCATTTACACAGATGTTTCGCATCATGCGAAATGGATACGTGAAATTATTGGCGATGGTACTAATCAAAATAGTTCCATTTGGGGTTCGATGGGTTTTTTGCTATTGACCTATGTGGCCTTGAAACGCAGCAAATTTATGAAGTTGTAAATAGTTAGTTTTGATAATATTATTATAGCAACTAAATTATTTATATATAGTTTTAAGTTTATCTCTCAGTTTAGTTTATTTAAAATAATAGTTAATAAGTTTTTGCTAAGAGTACAAATAGAATCTGAAACTGTTGAAATAGTTTTTGTATAAATATGAAAATAAAAAACATTTTATAAAATCTTATTTATATGCATATAAAAAACTAGTTTTAGATTTAACTTTAGTTATGCATTTCCAAGAGTTCAAACTCGATTTATACAAAATTTTAATTTTATTTTATAGAAATTTAATTTTCTATAGAAAATCCATCAGTTTTCTATAGAAAAGTTTCAGATTTGTTTTGTTTAGAAAATCTCTCGATTAAGTTTTTATAGAAAATCTTTCGATCAGTTTTCTATAGAAATTTCTCGATCGGTTATCAATAGAAAATCTCTCGATCGCTTATCTATATAAAAGTTCTCCATCAGTTTTCTATATAAAATCTCTCGATCAGTTTTCTACAGAATATCTCTCGATCAGTTTTCTTTAGAAAATCTCTCGATCGGTTATCTATATAAAATCTCTCCATCAGTTTTCTATACAAAATCTCTCGATTAGTTTTCTACAGAAAATCTCTCGATCAATTATCTATAGAAAATCTCTCGATCAGGTTCCTTTTAAAAAAAATTCAATTTTCTTTAATTTAAAAAACATTTATATTTATTAATTTGAATTTAAAACATTTATACTTGGGAAACTTTTTTCGAATTCGAAATTGAGTTTTAACTTTGTAGGTCTTTCAAACCCGGTTTCAATGACATATTAATACATGGTAGCGGCTTTTTTGAGTCAATTTCTTCCCGCTTTTTAATAACTTTTTCAATATAATTCTAAATATAAAATAATAAAACAAATGTATAAAGAAATATCTAAAATTTTTAAACAGCATTATTACCCTGTTAAAAATATAGGAAAAAGGATAACGTATGAAAACGCAATAAAATGCTTCAAGAAATGATATTAAACTGGTGCCCATAAATAAACTGAAAATGCTTGCCGCAGCCACTAAAATTTAGGATAAAAATATAGAAAATATAGAAAAAAGTAGGAACTTTATAAAAGCTAACTTACTTATAAATTCAGTTGTACTGAAAATGTTTAAAATACGAAATTGTAAAAGTGGCCAATATTGCAAATCGATAGTAAATTCAAAATAATCCCTTTTTATAGAATAATTTAACGTTGTATTTTTGGTATAATATTTAATTCTTTCTCTGAAATGGTGTAAAGTTATAAAGTTGTAGGTAGAGTTATACCTGTCCGAAATTAGTACTTACGGTTCTTGTATTTCCGGCTTAGAAACATAAGTCGTACGATTACAATTGCTCAAACATTCCTTGCATACATGACGTCTGATGGTTAAATAATGAGTTTCATAACATGACATATCATTAACCCTACATATTTTCGTTTTGTTTGCCAATTCTTTTGAACAAAAGTAGTAAAGAGTTCTGAGATCTTTATAATTTCAGACTATTAATAATACACTTACTAGGAAACATTGCAATGCTAAAAGTTGGTGTACAATTGCATAATTTAATAAATTGCTTTGTATGACAATAATTATAACAAACATCCTGATCATAGAAATTTGTAGCAAATTCTTCATTCAACTCTTTGTAGGGAAATTTTTCATCAGAAAATATACATTTACGTTGTCTACGTAAAAAATCGGTTCTCTTTTTAATTCAAAACTGTAACATTAATTCATGTCTGACTCACCCCAAGTTTAATTTTCTATTTTTTTCTTCAGAGTATTGATTGACAATAGTGTAACCATATTCGGAAATTTGTTTTCGAGGACGCCATACATAGTTGGGATAATCAGTTAGGGAGAGTAAATTACGTGGATCTTTAAGATACATCTAAGAGTAGAGGTTATGTTTTTGGGTACAATATATAAAACTTTATTAAAGTTTTATTCGTAAAATGTTCTTACCAAAAGTGCCGTTTCATTTCCATATAAAATTTTGAAACGTATAGTCCAGTCGTCATCGAATTCTGAAAATTCTTTATAAGGAACTTTAAGGGGATTTCTTAAAATAAAAAAATTTCATAATAAGATTTTTTTCTAACAAATTTAATATAGAAATTTTATCAAGAGATTTTATATAAAAAAATTCTCAGTATAAAATTGATCGAGAGATTTTTCATAGAAAAATGATCGAGATTTTTCATAGAAAAATGATCGACAGATTTTCCATAAAAAATTATTCGAGAGATTTTGTGTAGAAAATTGATCGTGACATTTTCTATAGATCGACTAATGGTTTCGAAAAATTTTCTATAGAAAATAGATCGACTGATTTTTTATAGAAAATAGATCGAGAGTTTTCTATCGACAGACTGTCTAAGAAAATAGATCGAAAAATTTTCAATAGAAAATAGATCGAAAAAACTGATCGACAGATTTTCTATAGAAAAAAGATGGACAGATTTTCTATAGAAAATAGATCGACAGATTTTCTATAGAAAATAGATCGACAGATTTTCTATAGAAAATAGATCGACAGATTTTCTATAGAAAATAGATCGACAGATTTTCTATAGAAAATAGATCGACAGATTTTCTATAGAAAATAGATCGACAGATTTTCTATAGAAAATAGATCGACAGATTTTCCATAGAAAATAGATTGACAGACTTTCTATTGAAAATAGATTAAAAAATTTTCTATTGAAAATAGTTTGACAGACTTTCTTTACAAAAAAAAAAAAAAAATAGATCGAACGATTTTCTATAGAAAATACATCGACAGACTTTCTTTAGAAAATAGATCGAACGATTTTCTATAGAAAATTGATCGACAGATTTTCTATAGAGAACTGATCGACAGATTTTCTATAGAGAACTGATCGACAGATTTTCTATAAAGAACTGATCGACAGATTTTCAATAGAAATCTGATCGACAGATTTTCTATAGAAAATAGATCGACAGATTTTCTATAGAAAATAGATCGACAGATTTTCTATAGAAAATAGATCGACAGATTTTCTATAGAAAATAGATCGACAGATTTTCTATAGAAAATAGATCGACAGATTTTCTATAGAAAATAGATCGACAGATTTTCTATAGAAAATAGATCGACAGATTTTCTATAGAAAATAGATCGACAGATTTTCTATAGAAAATAGATCGACAGATTTTCTATAGAAAATAGATCGACAGATTTTCTATAGAAAACAGATCGACAGATTTTCTATAGAAAACAGATCGACAGATTTTCTATAGAAAATAGATCGACAGATTTTCTATAGAAAATAGATCGACAGATTTTCTATAGAAAATAGATCGACAGATTTTCTATAGAAAATAGATCGACAGATTTTCTATAGAAAATAGATCGACAGATTTTCTATAGAAAATAGATCGACAGATTTTCTATAGAAAATAGATCGACAGATTTTCTATAGAAAATAGATCGACAGATTTTCTATAGAAAATAGATCGACGGATTTTCTATAGAAAATAGATCGACGGATTTTCTATAGAAAATAGATCGACGGATTTTCTATAGAAAATAGATCGACGGATTTTCTATAGAAAATAGATCGACAGATTTTCTATAGAAAATAGATCGACAGATTTTCTATAGAAAATAGATCGACAGATTTTCTATAGAAAATAGATCGACAGATTTTCTATAGAAAATAGATCGGCAGATTTTCTATAGAAAATAGATCGACAGATTTTCTATAGAAAATAAATCGACAGATTTTCTATAGAAAATAGATCGACAGATTTTCTATAGAAAATAGATCGGCAGATTTTCTATAGAAAATAGATCGACAGATTTTCTATAGAAAATAGATCGACAGATTTTCTATAGAAAATAGATCGACAGATTTTCTATAGAAAATAGTTCTAATAAAAATAGTTCATTGTTTAAAGAAATATAAACTTACTCGTGAAAATTCTTCTGAGTATAAATACTATTAAAAACAAAACAAAATCCCGGCGCCAGTTCAAGTGGAATAAAAATATCGGCGCAATCAAAACGTAGTCCTTGGACATAACAATCTTTCAACAATTCATTGATTTGATAATAAAACTGTAGTTAAGAAATAGTTAAAAAATTAACAAAAAAAAAAAAAAAAAAAAATAAAAATCTATAGAATAAGAAGAAAAATTAACCTTTATGAAATGTTTTCGCAGATTCGTTATATCAACATTATAAAGAAATAATTCTGTCAGATTGTATTTGACATTTTTGGTAGAACGTTGAAAACGTAACATGTTTTGTAAGTTCTTATCGATATCTTTGTAGGACATGGTTAAGTTGGATTTTAAACTTGAAAGGAAACAAAGAAAATTTAATTTAAAATTTAAGATTATAGATATTTTATACATACATATATTTTCTATACTTTGCCAATCTTATAGGATTCAAAGGATAACCCAAGCAGACATATACCGATGGATAGGGAAGTTTGGTGCCTTGCGCTAACATTTCATAAACTAAAGCGAAAGAAATTTTCTATTAATTTGATTGAAAATGTTTTTTGGATAATTTTGTAAGCTGAATACCTGGTAAAGTGGATTGATTTTCAAATTGATTCCAAAATCTTAGAGAGATTACCACTACAACCATAAAAGAAAAACTTATGATCACATGCCAAAATAGTTGTTGCAATCTATTGGCATAACAATTGGTGAATCTATAGCCTGGTATTGAGGTAGAGGCTATAAAAGTATTAAATTGAAATTTAAAACTATTTTTTATAAAATAAAATAATTTCATGATGAATTTTTTTATCAGTACTTTGCTTCAAGGATTATTAGTGTGAAAACTAAAGGATTTGCAAATAACATGTGTTTTTATAGCAACAGACTTTTTTTCAGTTTGCAGTATGAAAAGATTATAATCTTTTAACAAAATTGTATTTTATTTTTTTGTTATATGATCTTTCACCCACATCTTAGTTGGCTAATGCATTAGTTATAGTGGCATTTGAAAAATAAGTGTTACGACAACTTTAATTACATGTTAATTAAATATTAAAATATTTACCATAATTATGGTGTTTTGAAATCGATATCGAAACACAAAAGCAATAAAGTGTTAATGCCGTGACTTTTTGTACTCTATAGTTATTATGGTAATGTGATTGGTTAAGCCAGTGACATGAACTTAGAAAACTTAAGAAACACCTTTGGGGACAACTTTGATCCATTGGCATGAGACAACAACAAACAAGAGATTGACTTTGGAAAACTCTTCAAGAGGTTTTAACCAGAAAAGTGATCTACAGATTTTTAATAGCAAACTGATTGTGAGTTTCTATAGAAAATAGATCGAAAGATTTTCTATAGAAAATAGAATGAAATATTTTCTGTGGAAAATATATAGATCGAAAGATTTTTTACAGACAAGTGATCGATAGACTTTCTGTAGAAAATTTATCGAAAGATTTTCCATAGAAAATAGATCGATAGATTTCCTATTAAATACTAATCGAGTAATTTTCTATAGGAAACTGATCGAGAGATTTTTTATAAAAAATTGATCGAGAGATTTGATATAGACAACTGATTGAGAGAAATTTTATAGAAAATTGATTGAAAGATTTTCTATAGAAAATAGATCGAAAGATTTTCCATAGAAAATAGATCGATAGATTTCCTATTGAATACTAATCGAGTAATTTTCTACAGAAAACTGATCGAGAAATTTGGTATAGAAAACTGATCGAGAGATTTTTTATAAAAAATTTAAAAGTTGATGAAGAGATTTTCTATAGAAAATTGATCAATAGATTTTGTACAGAAAATTTATCAAGAGATAAAGATCGAATGAAATTCTATAGAAAATCGAAAATTGAACAACAAATTTTCTATAGAAAACTGATCCAGAGATTTGATATAGAAAACTGATTGAGAGAAATTTTATAGAATATAGATCGAAAGATTTTCCATAGAAAATAGATCGATAGATTTTCCATAGAAAATAGATCGATAGATTTCCTATTGAATACTAATCGAGTAATTTTCTATAGAAAACTGATCGGGAAATTTGGTATAGAAAACTGATCGAGAGATTTTTTGTAAAAAAAGTTGATGAAGAGGTTTTCTATAGAAAATTGATCTCGAGAATTTCTTTAGAAAATTGATCGACAGACAAGTGATCAAAAGATTTTCCATAGATAAGCGATCGAAAGATTCTCTATAAAACTTTGATCGAGATATTTTCATAGAAAATGTATCTCTTTAGAAAATGATCGAGATATTTTCTTCACAGAGATAGAACAAAATTTTATAAAATTCATATGATCTAGAGAATGATCGAATCACTAATCTAGTGATCGTTAAAAAAATAAAGCTCATAAAATATTCGTTCAATCCCAAAACTACTTATTTCAAACAAACATATGTCAACTATTCAAATATGGTCATTAACGAAATTGCACTTAATTTGCTTTCAAAACTACAAAGGCCAAAATTAACTAAAAATAAAAAGTCACAAATGATAAAGTCCATGGATTTCATGTTAAACATTGGAAAAAAAAAACATCATGTTCAACAATTGACCTGTTGCAAGCAATGTTAGCGCAAACGTGCTGATACAAAGTGTTGTGTTGTTTTTTTTTATCGGCCAACAAAAATCACCTAAAAGTGCAACATGTAGAACCACAGCAACAAACAACAACAACAGTAGCTAAATATAACAACAATATTAGCGGCAAACACACATGTTAAACATTGTCATCAAAGTGCATTGTAATTTATCTTTTCCCAAAGACCCGCATATGCCTCGAAATTGACAGTTAAAGAGTGGGAGTTTAGTTTTTGATGTTGTTTTTTATTTCTACTCATTGACAAAAACATTTTAATTTGGTCTTTTTTATTTTATCTTATAAATTAAAAACTATGAAAAAGTGATCGTGAGATTTATTATAAAAAAGAAAGCTGATCAAGTTAGTTTTGATTATAGAAAATTGATCGACAGAATTTTTTATTCAAACATGATATAGAGATTTTCTATAGACAATTGAGGGAGAGATTTTTAATACAAAAAAGTTATGGATAGATTTTCTATATCAATTTATTAAGAAGTTTTAAAAGACTTTGTGAAGAGTTTTTTTTATAGAATGCAGATCCAAATGTTTTCTGGAGAAAACAGATTGAGAGAATTTCCGTAGAAAAGTAATCGAGGGATTTGTTATGGAAAACTGATCGAGATATTATAAAAAAATGTGATCATAAGATATTTTATGGAAAACTAATGATGATATATTCATGGGATCATGGGATTTTTAGAAAAAGTAATCATAATGTTTTGTTGAGAAAACTGATTGAGAAATTGTCTATAGAATACTGATCACGAGGTTGAAAGATATTCTAAAAAGATATCAACATATACGATCAAATACTGAGAGTTTATAAACTGATCCATAGATTATTTATAAAAAAGTGATCGATTTTGTAATGAAAAATATAATGAAAACTAGATCAGAAGAATATAGAAAACCGATCGAAAGATCTTTTAAGCAATTTTCTACAGAAATCTGTTCGAAAGATTTTTTCGATGATCGTAATGTTTTCTTGTGTAAACTGATCGAACTGATTGAGAGATTTTCTGAAAAAAAATGATAAAACGTACTTGAGATTTTATTGAGAAAATTAGAAGAGAAAGACTCGAGAGATTTCTTCTAAAAAAGATGAAATATAATGAAAAATAGATCACAAGAATGCAGAAAACCGATCGAAAGATCATTTAAAAGAACTGATTGAAAATCTTGAGGAAAATGATCGATAGAATTCCTACAGAAATTTGTTTGAAAGATTTTTTCGGTGATCGAAATGTTTTCTTGTGAAAATGATCGAGAGATTTTCTTTTAAAAACTCAACGAGTGATTGATTACGAGATTTTCTGAAAAAATGTGTTGAAGGAGTTTTTATAAAACGGTTCTCGAGATTTTGTTGAGAAAATTGATTGTGAGATTTCTTTTGAGAGAAAATGAAAGACTCCAGATATTTTATTGAGAAAAACTGTAAGAACATAAGAAAGAAAAGTAGTTGAAGAATTTTCTACAGGAAATACTTTATTAATTCATTTAATATCTCTATAGTAATAATCACTTTCGGAAGTGATTGACTTTTTTAACACAGTTTCACCAAAAAATGCCCCCATTTAAATGACATTTTAAGTTTAAATGGAAAAAAAAATTAAAAAAAGCTAAAAATAAAACAAACAAGAAATCACCTGAAACATTTAATGACTTCAAAAGACATTTTACTGCCAATGTGTATTTTAATAGAGATGTAGAGCTTTATTTAGAAACAAATTGGAAAAATAAAACTAAAAATAAAACACAAAAAAAAAAAAAAAAAAATAAAATATAAAGTGATATATAATAAGTAAGAAAATTTATGATTTTTGTCCACGCGATGGCACATGTCCAAATTGAAGTTTTCATTATAAGATGCAAAATGGTTGAGTTTACGTGAAATGCATAAATGTTATGCATTAAATTTTATAAAAATAATAACAGGGAAATGGTAAAAAAATTTGGCAGAGATTTTATAATGGCCACCCACTTACCAAGAAGAAATCTTAAAGAAAAACTGGAGTATATTTATAAAAGTTAATAAATTAAATCATTATTACTACTTATTACTTATTAAAAGAAATATTAGAGTTGGGGAGAAGAAGGTAAATATCAAAGTAAAAGAAGTCTTATGATTTCAAAATGTTTGTCTATTTTAGATTTATTAAAGAATTTAGAAAAATCTGTAAATAAAGCATGAAGGATCTACAACGACTTAAGGGGGCCTTATAATGTCAAGATCAAATACTTTATACTTATTAAAACACTAAATAATTTAGACTACTGAATAAGATCATTTTAAATACTGAAAAATGATCGAGAGATCAAAGCTAAGGAATCGAAAGACTTCCTTTAGTAAAGTGATCGAGAAAATTGAAAGATTTTCTATAGCACAGTTCGAAAAATTTTTTATAGACAAGTCATCGAAAGATTTTTCTATAGACAAGTGATCGACAGACTTTCCATAGAAAATAGATCGACAGATTTTCCCAATAGTTTAGATTACTGAATAAAATAATTTTAACTTGTGAAAAGTGATGGAGAGATCAAAGAAAAGGAATCGAAAGACTTCCTTTAGTAAAGTGATGGAAAGAATTTGAACAGAAAATTGAACGAGAGAACAAAGCGATGAAAAGATTTTCTCGAGCACAGTTCGAAAGAGTTTTTATAGAGAAGTAATCGAATGAGACAAGTGATCGACACATTTTCTATAGACAAGTGTTCGATAGACTTTCTTTAGAAAATTGATCTACAGACATTCAATAGAAAATTGATCTACAGATTTTCTTTGGAAATATATTAGAGAAAATTGACCAGAGACACATTTTTTATAGAAAATATATCGACAGGTTTTCTATAGAAAATATATCAATAGATTTTCTATAGAAAATAGATCAGAGACAGATTTTCAATAGAAAATAGAACGACAGATTTTCTATAGAAAATAGATCGACAGATTTTCTATAGAAAATAGATCGACAGATTTTCTATACAGAATAGATCAGAGACAGATTTTCCATAGAAAATAGATCAGAGACAGATTTTCTATAGAAAAAGGATCAGAAACAGATTTTTTATAGAAAATGATCGTCAGATTTTCTATAGAAAATGATCGTCAGATTTTCTATAGAAAAT